TTCTTGTTTTGGAATTCTGTCTGTACAAGGCAATGATTCTGTCCAGAAAGTCAACTCCCCTCATGTTCTGATTATACATCTCCATAATGAGTGGTTGGGTTATATGCACACATTTTTTCCTTTTTTTGACCATCAACAGCATTCTCCTGTAGACATCTTGCCTTCAACGGAAGGTACTAAAGTGAAAGGTTTGTTATCATACCATTTTACAATGGATATCTGGCCATCTCCTTGTATGGACTGATCAATGATCCACAACCCTTGTTTTTTAGCTCAAAGTGCTAAAAAACTCAGTTTTTTAGCTCAGACTGCAATCTACTTTCTTTTGGAATTAGGCACATTTTTACTGTTCCAGTCCTCTGACACTGTGAATCTACATGGAGACAATCAAGTACGGTACCTCTATACCCGAGAAATACCTATACATGTAAATAATACATCCTGGTGGCAATGATTGTGCTGAGCACATTACTACTTTGCCTCCTATGTCGAGGGAATCTCACCCTTCAATATTGTCACCTTTTCCCTGATATAAAAAGAAATCCAATGACAATCCATCAGGAGAAGTACAAAGAAAATTTTTTATGCCATATGTGTTTGGCTTTCCACAAATGAACTGTCTTGTAGATGTTCATCAATAGAAACTTTCTGTTCTTTCATTCTGTACACAACCATGTGTCACAACTTCAAGTAAGGGATGAATCTTCCAAAATTTGTCTGCTGAGTGTATTTCAGATGCAGATCATCATCGACTGTTAGCTTCACATTGCTTCGGATGGAGAAGCAGCACCTTTTAGACATGTCTGCAATTTGCTGCACTTTAGTACTTGCTGACTAGTACATTTCTATTCTGGAAAAGCCAAGTATGACATTGTCAGAGATGTTCCAAAAAATCTTTGTATCTCATGGGGGATCGTATTTAGAGACTTCCCCATTTGTATAAGAGATGACCAATTTGTGGCTATTAAAATGGTCTCAAATATACTGACTGAAATGCATTTTATAAAATATACCTGTGGATTTGAATCTCTGGCTTGCCATGGAATATCTTCTAAAGATGGTGCAGGAGGCAATGGCTCAAACACATCTGTGTGCTGTCGAGGAGGATCATTTTGATGCACATTCCTTACCAGAATCACCATTTTTTTCACCAGAATTCTCAATCTTCATCTGAAGAATCACTTGTTTCTTCAGTTGGTATAAAAATCTCATCATCTTTGTCATTTGTTTCACATTCAAGATCAGAAAGGTTTCCATCAAATTCTTTCTCAAGCCTCTCATATTTTTTCCTGACTCCAAAACTGAAATGTAACATACATAATATTAATCTCCAAACCTATTTTTAGTAGTCAGGAATCACATATATCAAATTCTGTTTGAAAAAAACAAAAGAAATAGTTAAGAAAAGTGAGTATTTCACTCATAAAGAAAAACAGTACATTTGTACAAATTAGGTTCCAGTGTGTCTTATACAACACAAAAAAAGATGTTTCCAACATCGACATGTCTTAATCAACTTTGAAAGAAATTTAACATTTAATTTAAAGCATTTGAAATATGAATACAGTAACATAAATATAAGTATTTATTTTTATTACTAAATAAATGATATATTATGTAGACAAGACAATTTGTCACTTTTCAAAATGTAGGTGTTCTAAAAAAATGTCAATAGCTTCTTTTGTTATCTACACTACAAGCATCAAAACAATGCATGCTTGTAATTGACTGAACCCTAGTGGTCATTTTAGGAACTTCTTGGCTTATATCACAAGTGATATAGAGAATCTGTAGCTGTATAAACAATGGGAATTTTGTGTTGTATATGACCTGGGGAATCCATAGAGGATAAGTTGATGGATATCAGCTATTGCCTTATACCAAGGTACAAGGATATTTGTGAAATACAATGGGTTCTTTTTAATTTGAGGGTTTACATTTAAGGCATATTGGACAGTTTTCTACCTTATTTGTGTTTGTGCCTGACAAAAAAATTGTTCCAGGACCAGTCTAGTTTATTACTCCTGTTAGCTGACATGTAGTCTTTCAACTATTTCTGTTTTGTGTTCTAAGGATAATGACACTGGGTTCTCCTAAAGATTAGTAATCCTATTTCAGATAGTTCATCCTGAAAGTCTGAATGCTTGTAAATTAGATGATGATCCTGTTTTGTACCTGAGCTAGTCTTGTAAGTATGTTTTAAGCATGTTTAAATCCTAGTTTCTGTATTTAGCTGGTTTTTTTAAGGTTTCAAATTTACTTTCTTCATAAGATGGTGAACTTGCTTCTCATCTGTTGGAAGATTAGCTGACACACTTGCAAGGAGTAATGTACAGTTTCCTTGCCAGATTTATGTATGACAAGTTAAGTCATTCTTGATTTTCAGTATCATTCTCAATAATCTCACAGGAATTGCATTTAGTGACTTTTTGACATTCTTGTAATACTTTTGGCCTATTAAGAAACATTTATCATAGAGATATTGTCTGAGTTTTTGACAGCCAAACATAATTATTTCCCTATTTTACAATAATTTTTTTCTGTTTCTGACAGAGCTCTTCTATGGGCATAACTAAATGGATTATTATCCATTAAGTTGGGCTTGTAGGACTACTCCCACTGCTGTTGAAGTGCCATCAACAGATGATGATCTTTCTTTTTATCAAAATGTCAGTGTTTGCATTTCCAAAAGGATAATTTTTAAATTTTCCATAGCTTGTTGCTGTCTTCAGATACATAAATTCATTATTTTTAAGTTCTCATGGCAACATTGAGATACTGGAGTCTTGTGGAATATAGGTAGTTTTGAAAGATAATTAGCCATTTTCAAGGAACATTTTATAGCTATCTTGTTTTCAGGAATTGTCATGTCAATTAAAGCTGTGATTTTTGTTGGGATCAGATTCCAGATTNAATCTTACCCGTTTTCACAGAATGCAAGAATTAGGTCCCCCGTTTCCAGACTAATTAGAGACCTGGTCCCGATTCTATTTCTGAACGTCTCCTGTTCACGTCCAGTCAAACGAACTATTTTCAACATTTCTGGAACGTTTACAATCATTCTATAATCTAACCAATATTCGAATTTTATGTTCGAATTTAATCCAAACATAACATTCGAAATAGAAAACCACTTTAGACCACTTTCAGCTCCATATCTCCCGCACCCTTATAGCTATCGAGACGCAACCCCCATAGTGCATGAATGGAGACTTGGGGCTACTACCACATACAAACACCATTCACGTGCGATGTGTAGTTTTGGCGGAAAAGTGAAATATAGGGACACACACGTCCATTTTTATATATATATAGATAAGGTACAAGGATATTTGTGGAATACAATGGGTTCTTTTTAGTTTGAGTGTTTACATTTCAGGCATATTGGACAATTTTCTACCTTATTTGTGTTTGTGCCTGACAAAAAAATTGTTCCAGGACCAGTCTACAGTTTATTACTCCTGGTTGCCTGACATGTAGTCTTTCAACTATTTCTGTTTTGTGTTCTAAGGATAATGACACTGGGTTCTCCTAAAGATTAGTAATCCTATTTCAGATAGTTCATCCTGAAAGTCTGAATGCTTGTAAATTAGATGATGATCCTGTTTTGTACCTGAGCTAGTCTTGTAAGTATGTTTTAAGCATGTTTAAATCCTAGTTTCTGTATTTAGCTGGTTTTTTTAAGGTTTTAAATTTACTTTCTTCATAAGATAGTGAACTTGCTTCTCATCTGTTGGAAGATTACTCCTTGCAAGTGTGTCAGCTAATGTACAGTTTCCTTGCCAGATTTATGGATGACAAGTTAAGTCATTCTTGAGTTTCAGTATCATTCTCAATAATCTCACAGGAATTGCATTTAGTGACTTTTTGACATTCTTGTAATACTTTTGGCCTATTAAGAAACATTTATCATAGAGATATTGTCTGAGTTTTTGACAGCCAAACATAATTATTTCCCTACTTTACAATAATTTTTTTCTGTTTCTGACAGAGCTCTTCTATGGGCATAACTAAATGGATTATTATCCATTAAGTTGGGCTTGTAGGACTACTCCCACTGCTGTTGAAGTGCCATCAACAGATGATGATCTTTCTTTTTATCAAAATGTCAGTGTTTGCATTTCCAAAAGGATAATTTTTAAATTTTCCATAGCTTGTTGCTGTCTTCAGATACATAAATTCATTATTTTTAAGTTTTCACAGCAACATTGAGATACTGGAGTCTTGTGGAATAAAGGTAGTTTTGAAAGATAATTAGCCATTCTCAAGGAACATTCTATAGCTTTCTTGTTTTCAGGAATTGTCATGTCAATTATAGCTTTGATTTTTGTTGGGATCAGATTCCAGATTTGCTAAACATGCATCCCAGAAAAAAATCTTTTATTCAAAATACAGTAGACTCCCCCTATAAAACGGGTTCATATAGTTCGGATTCCCATATGACAAAGAAAAAATTGTGACTGTATTTGTATAAACACACTAAAAGAGACTCGTATAATTCAGTAAAACGCATTGCCGACTCGTGTTGTGACAGGATTGGTCGAATCTAGACCAATAGCGGATATTGCACAAACCATTGAGTTTAAACGAGCAGCGGACCTACTAAAAACCATTTATTATTTAACGTCCATAAAAATTATATCTATATTAATGATGTCTCCAAAGTTCAGCAAAGTTTTCACAGAAAAATAATTTATCAGGAAGCATGCGAGTGCCATTCGATGCACCGCTCCACGACGAAAACAAGCTTAAGCAATGGCGTCGTCGAAAGGTGCACACTTGGTAAGTAATCCTACAATTTTTTGTTTATAGCATAGTTTATACGGATTATTCCCAAAAAATTATACGTATTTTGGAAATGTTGAGTTGAATTAGTCTCGAATCAATTAAATTTATGGAAGAAAACCTTTCATACAGCCATAGTCCATAAACTGCATACATGCCGGGCTGTGATTGGCTCGTGTATTTAAGGACTCATAGAAAATGGATATCATAAAAACTGGAACGTATCTACTGTGTTATGGGGGGGTCAACTGTATTTACTAAAAGGTAATAAAAGGTAGTAGACATTCGCTCTAATTTGGATAGATATGATGCATGTTACGATGACATCTCTAAATAAACTCTTCCACAGGATCCTAAACTCACATTTTAAACTGAAGTTTAGTAAATCTGTAAAAAAAAAAAAAAAAATTCAAAGGCTCATCAGGGCCTTCTCTTCTGGATAAGAACTTGTCACATACTGTGTGAAATATTTCTTGAATTTTTTAACTTGTGTCAATATCGTGCTATTTGTCTTCACCTAGATCAAAGAAGAAAAATATTTGGAGATAACTTTATTATTACATATTAGAATGCCTTGGACTTGTGATTCTTCTAATCTGTTTATTTTTCTTATCTGTAACTTTCAGTTATGCTCCATTTCCCAACATGTTAAGTAGTTAAGTGTAATCTTTGCTGTTACATAATATCTGCTGCAATTGTTCTAATTACTTTAACAAACATGGCTTGCATAGATAACAGATACTTCTAAGACCATGTTGTGTGTGGTCACTACATTATTAGAGAACACAATGAGCATGGCAGCTATTTGTACAATCCACAATCTGTGGCATTCCTCTGAACAAAAGTTTGTGAAGTGTTTTTATTTATAAATATATATTTTGTATATTCTAATAATGAAACCAGGCATTCCAAGTTAAACCAAAGTTATTAATTAAAAAACATACAAGCTAAATATTCAAAAGTAGTGTTTATTACTTTAAACATAATACATAAATTCAATAAAAACTAATTTTTATGTTCCATTACTTTGAGTTAAGGCTAATTTTTCCTCTTCTTCCATTGTAGGTGGATGAGCTAATACAGTGTCAATGAGACCAAATTCTTTTGCTTGTTCAGGATTCATAAATCTATCTCTTTCCATACTCTCCTCTTAATATGAAATATATGTTTTAATTAATTGCATTATAATAAACAAATTTAAATAAAGATGGTTTCTTACCAATTTTTTGTAAAGGTAGTTTAGTATGTTGTGCATATATAGAATTAATTTTCTTTTTCAGATATAAAATTTCTTCTGCATGAATCTGAATGTCTGTTGCTTGACCCTAAAATAAACATATTTATGTAAATCCATTTGATAATGATATTTTATCTTATGCTACATTTAATTTTAATATATAAAACTGCATCAAAAATCTTAAAGCTTGGTAGTCACATGAACAAATTCAGTGCCAAACCAGCTTCTAATCATATAATCAAATTGTAGATATTAGATACTAAAAAATTTTCTGAAACTCAAAGATATAAGTCTGGATCATTGCACAACAGTTCAACAACTTTATGAACATATTATAAAAACTTAATGAAACCTAAACTTACAGCAGCTTGACCAGATGGCTGATGAATCATGATTCTAGAATTGGGCAATGAATGTCTCATTCCTGGTGTTCCAGAACATAATAGTAGACTAGCCATACTGCAGGCTTGACCAACACACCATGTGGCAATTGGAGGTCTTATATATTGCATTGTATCATAAATTCCTAATCCAGCTGTAACTGATCCACCTAAAAATAAACTTTGTTACTTTTGAAGTACATTTTCATAAGGTAAAAAAAAACCTTTATAAGGACAGATTAATTAAAATAAGATACTATGTTAATTTATGATGAAAAATGTATACTAATTTCATTTCTTTTGTTAAACTTTAACAGAAGTTTTTATAAGTTTAACAAAAGAAATGAAATTACTAAGTCATAATTATGAAAATTTTCTTTTAAAAATATTTTGACTCTATGAATACTTTTAATTTATAATTCTTGTTTAAATACGATTACTAATATAATTTCTTAGTTTTATCTGACTATACAAGTTACAATAAACTTCCAATCCATATAAATGAAACAAATGTTTCAAGAGTTATTACATTTATTTGTTTGAGAAAAACAAAAATGAAGTTCATATGTTTGTGTCCAGCTTCTCAAAATACAAAAAACAAAAAAAGCCTAGAAAATTAATAGTATATACAGTATTTATATGCCATTAGTGCAGGTTGGAATGCTCATAACTTCTTTTTTTTTATCTGTTTACAAGTTCAAAACTTTAAAACAAAAAAATTAAAGTACCATCTTAATTAACTAATTTTTCTAAAGTATTTTGTTACAGTAGTTGCATTGAACACTTTTTTATATTATGAATATTACTTACAAAACCAAATATTCAGCTTGTAAAAGAAAACAAATGTTTTCAATTGCCTTGAGCAATCATCTTCAGGTTAAAAGAATAGATTCAGAATGGAACAAGAGATTCTGGGATTATACTCTATATTCCTTTGGGACAACAAAGACAGCTAGTACCTACAGTACATTGTTTTAATGGATGTATCATAGCCTCAATGTTTACTAAAACATCTCAATACAATTAATAAAAGGCAAACTATTACAGCATTAGCTGTGTATGACTTGGATAAGACAAGTGCACTGTCAATGTTCACTTGCATATCTTACACAGGAGCCTCCACAACTTGTATGTAAATATGTTGAAATGTTAGAAATTTATAAGGCCAGCAGAATCAACCACAACTATTAACAAGAACAGTAACACGTTATTTCCAGCATGGAAGGCATTATTTTCACATCCTGATGCAACTACATGACTGCCAACCAGTTCTTGTAATGTTATAATTTAAAATATAAAAGAACTGGTTGGCAGTCATGTGATTGCATCAGGATGTGAAAATAATAATAAATTTGAAATAATGGACCACGAAACATGCACTCACTGCACTGGGACACACAGTTACAAAGAATGTAATGATAAAGAAGAAACTCCTATTTGTAAAAACTGTGACAGAAAGACTTACAAATACTAGTCACAATGCAATAGATCACATATGCCTCATTTATCAGAAAATGAAAAATGTAATCATTGCAAAAACAGACTATGGAACAAAAAAAATTAAAGATAAAATTAGTATCCTGCAAATAAACCTTGGCAGAGGAAGATATGCCACCTCTCTGCTCTCAAATAAACTTCAAACATACGATGTGGTCCTTGTACAAGAACCATATTGTATTAACAATAAACCTGTTTGTTTACTCACTAAATGTTCCAGAATAATAATGATCCATGGGTATTCATTAGTCCAGGGAACTAATGAATACCCATGGAGCATTATTATTCTGGAGAATAAGAACAGCTTGGTTGCTACGATTTTTATGGAATAAAATAGATATGTTATCTGCTGTGATATTTATGAACATGATACTAAGCTGCTCATAATTAACATATATTGTCCCAAAGAATCAATCTTCAAGATATAATAGAATAAATCAATAAGACAATTAATGCTGTCCCCAACAAAAACATTATTATCACTGGGGATATTAACTCACACTCTCAACTTGGGGAAGTAACAAACTCGATAAAAGACAGGAAACATTCGAGCAGTTCTGCAGTTCTAAAAAAAAACATCATCTTGAACAACTGTTACTCATCTCCAACTTTTGAATCAAGCAGAGAAAAAAGTTGGATAGACATCTCAGCCAGCTCCTCTAACATTTACATACACAACTGGAAGGTTGAAGATGACACTACACTAAATGACCATAAGTACATAACTTTTGAAATCAACATCCCTAATCTCAACATTCTAGAGGAACCAAGATATTGCACAGTCCAGACAGATGGAGAACATATGTTATGGATAAAACTGACATAACTCCCTCATACTCAAGGGAAGAGGCTAAGAGAAGGATTGAATGAAATCTCAAAAGTACTAAGGATGCACATGAGATTGCTATACCAAAATACAGGGCCAAGAATAAACCGGTCCACTGGTGGAACAATACTCTGAACTGAGGCTCAGAAAAAGTATCAACAAACTAAAAGAGGACACACAAAGGTTGATCTACAAACAACAATATTTAAAGCTACAAAAACTACATCATGATTTCAATTTAGAATCCTTTGAGAGAATACTGCACTAGAGCTAGCAAAAACCCTTGGGGTTTCTTACCAAGTGGAGCTATAACAGATTAAGAAGAATGGAGGCCATGACCATCATGGAAACTACAGGACCTACAAATGATTGCACCTATCTTTCCTATATTTCAAAAAATATGTGTAGATGACAATGAAAATGAAAATCTCAACATTCATAGTGAAATGAGAAACAAGATAAATGTAGGTATTAATACTCCTGCCCAATACATCCCCTTTCACACGCATAGAAGTTGGCAAAGAATCACTAACCTGAACAACAGAAAAACCCCAGGGCTCTGCAGAATTACCCCAAAGATCATCAAACAAATTTGAAAAATAAACCCAACATTTCTTTACCTCTTCAACACTTTCTTACATTTCAGCATCTTCCCCAGGGAATGGAAGAGAACCAAGTTGGCACTTGTTCCTAAAGTAAACAAACCCACAGACCAATTTCCCTGTAACCTGCACTAAGGGAAGTAATGGAAAAACTGCTTACAAACAGACTCTCATGGCACCTTGAGTCAAATAACCTACTGAGTGACAATCAGTATGGTCAAACTGTCAACAAAGGTCAACTGTTTATGCTATCACAGTGGCAGTCAACATCAAAGGACTACTTGACAGAAATAAATATGTTTTGGGACTTAGTATAGACATCCAGAAGGCATTCAACGGTGTGCCAACGGTGCGGCTGATTCTTTATAGACTCAAGCAACTACAATGTCCCACAAACATCTATCTACTGATGAAAGAATACCTTCATGAGAGAACTATTGCCATCAAAACAGGAAATATTACTTTTGAGAATGAGTATAATGGGTTGTCTATGGCTTGGCCTGTGGACTGCTTCTATGGTGCATCATTTTCAAAGATTTTTTGACCCAGGACTTCGAGCAGGACAAAATCATTGTGCTGTTGACTGGTAACTCTAGAGCAAAACTCAAAAGGTAAGAAAAGCAGGCTATGTCAAAAATAAGCAAATGGAGAGGGAAAAACAAGCTGATCTTCAATCCAGGCACTCAAAACTTGTACAAGAGAGTACTGACAATTCAGATGGGGTCAGAAAGTATAAAAATAGAGAAAAACATTAAATATTCAGGGATCACCTTGACTTTAAGCTGCTTTGGACCACACATAATAAGAACATTTGTAAGAAAACAGGATTAATCTTTCAATGTTTCTCTAAGGTTGCTAAAAGCAACTGGGGACATGACTCTCATGCTATGGACTCAATTTATAACATGATATTTATTCCAATAATTATCTATGCCTGACCAGTTTGGGAAGAAGCCACTCACAAAATACATAATAAAAGGAAACTAATATCAACCCAAAAGAAAACACTACTGATTCTCATCAAAGGTTACAGAATGACTCCTACTAACAGCCTCCAGATAATTGCTAGAGAAGCCACCAAGGATCTCAAAATCAAATACCATGCATTAAAATGAAACTGAAACATGGTAACATAGCAATGACATTACCGTCTGGGATGAGAGACTTAAGATGATTTCAAATGAAGATCCCTTATGCACTTATCCAGAACCGAAGTAAAAGAAAATATTTTTACTCTGAAAAATTGACAGACAATCATATAGATGTATACACAAATAGGTCTAAAATCAACAATAATATTGGTGCCAGTTATGTAATATATCATGAATATATGGAAATTGAAAATAAACTTATCAAATTAGACAATACATAGTGTTACAGAAGCAGAACTGCTGGCAATTGCCATTGATGTGGAAGACTGTATTGCTAAATACTCACATTATAACATTAGCTGCTTGGCTGTCAGAATAGATGCTATTTACATAATTCAGAACAACGATACTCACCCGATTACAAATAATATAATAATACGATTACAAATAATAATGCCTTCTCCCTTAATTGGCTGAGAGGACACCAGGGAAATATTGGCAACAAAAGAATCAATCAATTAGCAAAAACAGCAGGCCACCAACCAAGAAAACACCATAATATACACCAAATTACCACCTGTTATAGGATTCAACACTATAAAAAACGATATTTTAAAAGAATGGCAAATGTTTTGTGAACACTTCCATAATAAAACAACTTACTCATACTTACCAGACATTAAAAGTATCTACAAGATGAATTGGTTCAAAATCAATCGCAATATAATCCAATTTATAACAAACCATGGCTGCTTTCAAAGCTACTTACACAGGTTCAAGTGATAGTGATAAGTGCTATATTTGTGACAAAACCAATGGAAGTGACCACTACCTGTTTGACTGCTGTATAGTCAAAAAAGAAAGGAAAGACTTACAAATTTTAGGCTACAAACATATAGATTGGCCATGTAATACAGGTAAAAGCCTTTTCCTGCAAAATGAAGAAATCTACAGGTTCTTCAAAACTCTTACAGACTTATATTTCAAATAGACTGTAGTGCAAAAATTATACTGAACATTATCAGTTTTCTGGAAAGCTACCCAGCCCTTTATTGTAGTAAGTCCTAAGTGTTGCGAGTAGTGACAGAGTCCACTCTTGCCCATACCATTCATTTACTGTTACATGCATTTAACATCACTTTTATACAATGATGACTGTATAGTATGCAGTTTTCCACCCAATGTGGATATGCACAAATCATTTGTACATGATTAATGAAATAAAATAACATTCTTGCTTTATACTGTATTGATTTGATTTGAACCACAATTATTTGCAGTACAGAGAGAAAAATATGTGCTCTTATTACCACTGTGCCAAAAGGAATGATATTTAGGTTATTTTGTTCTTTTGATAAGGCTGTCTTTTTTTCCCCAATGTATCTTATTTTATTCTTTCATCTGATGATGATAAAATGGTTATTTGGAAAGTATTTGTAATAAACTTTCTTCAGTTTTAAAACTCTTAACATTTTATGAAAATTATCATCATGATGATCATCTTGTGTATAATTCTATATTTAAAAAATGTAATTATAGAAATAAAAGGTAAAAGTTTTCTTTGTAAAAAAAAGTTAAACAATTTCTTTACCTGGACTGTTTATATACATATGAACTGGTTTTTTGTTACTTTCTGATTGTAGAAACAGCAACTGTGCTACAACAAGGCTAGACAATTCATCTGAAATCTAAATAACACATTTTAAAATTTATAAATGTAATAATTTAATTTGAGATTCATATTATGTTTAAAATTGATGATATCTTAAAATCTTTGAAATATAAAGTACAACTGATACAATATTACTATTTATTATATTTAATAATAATAATTTTAAATTACCAAATAAAATTTTAACAAAGACTTTATTTTTTCTTCTTTTTTGAATTGAATTTTATAAATAAAATTTCTGATAGTCATAAAGATCGAACATACTCTTTACAAGTACTGCATACTTTATATATAACACAGGTGAGAGACTAAAACAAAATCTAACATTTTCAATCTTATTTAAAGATCAGGTTCTTAAGATAGAACAGAAAGCAACTTTGAAAATTTTCAACCCTTGTGCATGTGATATGCAATACAATTTGATCATTTGTAATCTAGTCCATAGACAATTTTCTGAATTCAAATGATTAACCTTTACTCTTAACATTCCATTCTAAAAGTTTAAACATTCCAAAGTAGTCAATACTTAATAAAAGTAATCATCATCAACATAAATAGAAATTAAAAATCTACTAAGCAAACTAACAGTAAAAATAAAGATAAAACAGCTTTCAGCAGATATCTATCTTAAGTTGTTTCAGATCTCTTTGAAAATGTCTAATATGTATACAGTGAAAACTGCTTAGGCGACCACCTGCATTCGACGGGCACCTGTCAAAATGGGCAAAAATTTCTGGCACCGAATAGTTTATCCATAGAGTCTTCGTATAAGTTACCTGTATTAAACGACCACCTGTGTAACGCGACCGCGGGCATCGATTTTTGGTACGAAACAACATACAACAACTGTAATAAGCGACCACTTCTGCGAATATATCTGGTCTAAACTATTGTTCAACAACGTTTCCCCTCTCCTAATATAATGAATTAGTCTAAACTCTCGTCCGAACCCACCTGGGCACTTCTCCTATCCTTGAAATTAGGTGCAGGTGTTAATGAATTAATCTAGCAACAAAGGAAATTCATTTTGGTTTCTTCGAAATTGTCCGAAAAACGAAAGGAATGCAAAGTGCTGTCGTTAGAAGATCGTGTTAAATTTATCACAACAGCAATTAGCGGCGAAGTTTAACTGTGGGAAAACGAAATTTATTTTACCATAGACCTACAGTATTTTCCTTAGGGGTATAAAATATTGTACACGATACAATTAATCGGCTGATCTCATCGTTTGATAAAATCTTTTTTATTTATTTATTTTGAAGCTCATATACAGTACATGTGCGATAAATAGTTTCTGTATCAACCTACCTTATTTCCACGATATTTTTAGAAAAATAATATCCAATAATTTTCGCATGCAAAATATTCAAAAAACAATAAACGCATTAATGCAAAAATCAGTTTTACAGGCAACCTTCCTTTTTCGATTCTGCAATGACAATCGCGGAATGTAATGAAATCGTATAATGAGAAAAAATAATAAAATCGTTTTATTATTAATTAATAAGTTTCTTGTTGTACTTAAGAAAATGTTTTAAAAAATACAGTATTTTTAAGGTTAAAATAAGATTAAACTAACGAATACCAAAAACCAAAGTGATGTAGAGATAGTACGCACTTGTGTATCGATGACGTAATACACATAACTGAGGAGCGAACGAAAAAAACCAAGTTGAATTAATTAAGCAAAAAAAAAGAAAGTGTGCATTATAATCGAGAAAATGCGACTATTGTATTAATCTTTAAAATATTGAAATTAAATCCGTCTTATAAAATCACGACGACTCCTGTAAATCGAGTCATCCGATAAGAATAAAATACAATACCAATATAGCTCTAGCGTTGAAAAAATTCGCTTATTTTTACTCGCCTCGAGTTTTGCTTAGTAGAAATGGCTAAAAAGTGCGCAAAATACTTACGGAAATACGGTATTACAGCACCACCTGTATTGGACGACCACCTGTCTAAAAGACCACTTTTTGAAGGAACCGTGGGTGGTCACCTTAAACAGGTTTTACTGTATTTACATATACAGATTTACAGAACTATATTAATACTATAAGAGGTATAACTCTTTTGTTTAATAATTGTAATCAAAACCATAAAACTTATAAGTTACAGTTTATATTATAAGGTTAAAATAATAATAATAAACATCCTAATGATGACATTAAAGGGGGTTGTGTGTATCAGATTTAGTGACAATTTTACTCATTAGCATTTACAATTTTTTATAAAACTCATCCCTACCCTCAAAATTAAGCTTTTTGCTATTTTATAATAGTTAAAAATATACAAAAGCTTTTTAATAAAATATGCTAACAGATGGTGCCACCAAATGTTGCTGGGGAAAAATTGAGCAACTTATTGCTGGATTTATTATTATTATTATTAATATACTGGTATACAGGTGACTGGATTTTGCAAACAAATTAGCTATTCAAACTGAAATATATGCTCATTCTCTTATTTACATATACATATATACCTCATTTTACAACAAGCCACCATTCCAACAGTTTGACATAATATACACAAATATAAATACAATGCCAGACAGTAAAAGTTGTGATTGCTACAAAAATATCATATCTTAAAACATTTTTATGCTAAAGTAACTATAAACAGTAACCAATGTCAGTAATGACAAAATAGAATTGTACATTTTCATTTAACAAAAGTATTTATTATAACTATTATAAAGTTATATTACAGAGAACATGAAGTTACTGTATATACTCACATATAAGATGAGGTTTTTATTCATTTTTCACTGCTTCAAAAACATAGGTCCAGGGTGGCCAAGCTCCTTGATAGTCCGAGCCATTTTTCAAAATTTGAAATTTTTCGCGAGCCGCAATTAAATACGTATTAAAAAGGTATGCAAAAATTCCAGATTACAAATTATATCCGTAGCAAGAGTGATACAAATTGTTTCCTCCAGAGCACAATGTCAACTGTCCGTTGCAATGACAGTTTACAAATTCAAAATCGGTCTGGAGTCGGTNAGCGTTGAAAAAATTCGCTTATTTTTACTCGCCTCGAGTTTTGCTTAGTAGAAATGGCTAAAAAGTGCGCAAAATACTTACGGAAATACGGTATTACAGCACCACCTGTATTGGACGACCACCTGTCTAAAAGACCACTTTTTGAAGGAACCGTGGGTGGTCACCTTAAACAGGTTTTACTGTATTTACATATACAGATTTACAGAACTATATTAATACTATAAGAGGTATAACTCTTTTGTTTAATAATTGTAATCAAAACCATAAAACTTATAAGTTACAGTTTATATTATAAGGTTAAAATAATAATAATAAACATCCTAATGATGACATTAAAGGGGGTTGTGTGTATCAGATTTAGTGACAATTTTACTCATTAGCATTTACAATTTTTTATAAAACTCATCCCTACCCTCAAAATTAAGCTTTTTGCTATTTTATAATAGTTAAAAATATACAAAAGCTTTTTAATAAAATATGCTAACAGATGGTGCCACCAAATGTTGCTGGGGAAAAATTGAGCAACTTATTGCTGGATTTATTATTATTATTATTAATATACTGGTATACAGGTGACTGGATTTTGCAAACAAATTAGCTATTCAAACTGAAATATATGCTCATTCTCTTATTTACATATACATATATACCTCATTTTACAACAAGCCACCATTCCAACAGTTTGACATAATATACACAAATATAAATACAATGCCAGACAGTAAAAGTTGTGATTGCTACAAAAATATCATATCTTAAAACATTTTTATGCTAAAGTAACTATAAACAGTAACCAATGTCAGTAATGACAAAATAGAATTGTACATTTTCATTTAACAAAAGTATTTATTATAACTATTATAAAGTTATATTACAGAGAACATGAAGTTACTGTATATACTCACATATAAGATGAGGTTTTTATTCATTTTTCACTGCTTCAAAAACATAGGTCCAGGGTGGCCAAGCTCCTTGATAGTCCGAGCCATTTTTCAAAATTTGAAATTTTTCGCGAGCCGCAATTAAATACGTATTAAAAAGGTATGCAAAAAATTCCAGAATACAAATTATATCCGTAGCAAGAGTGATACAAATTGTTTCCTCCAGAGCACAATATCAACTGTCCGTTGCAATGACAGTTTACAAATTCAAAATCGGTCTGGAGTCGGTCGATAATGGACGATTACGCCACTGTTTATGATCGTTCGCACAGTTTTCGATGAGTCGTATCATTCTTAACTTGGACGGAAATGAAATTTGTTACAACGTTGCACTTAGTCTTTCATATTTGTTGTTAGTAAGTTAATTAAAAGACATTTTGAAACACATACGGAACGATAATAATTTTTAAAAATATAATAACACGAAAATGAAAAGGGAACCCGGGTACATCTATCAAGAGCCACAAATAATCCTTCAAAGAGCCGCAGGTTGGCCACCCCTGACATAGATCATCCTATATGTGCAAGCAGAGGACTTTTTGCATTTTTGCAATAATTTTTGTAAACCATGTATTTGCATTTTTACTGGATGCTCACCATCCAGTGTTTAAAAACAAAAGTATTTTATCTGGATCATTTCAATCATTCTTGTGTATTGTCAGGAGTAAAGATGAATAGCAATTGGAAAAGCAAAGCTTTTGAATTAAATTCCTGATAAAAATTTTAATCCATTCCCACGTGAAAACAGATGATTATTCAGAAATCAGAATTCGGAGAAACTCATAAGTGTAATCCATGCAGAGTGGATTTAACTGTTAAGAATTGGCAAAAAAGTTTTCCATTGTCCAACTTTACGTGAACAAACTATGTCGATTTTACAAGAATTTTCTTTAAAGTTTAAAATGCCAGTAATTTTTGCAAGACAATGTGTGCATTTGATATTTTATTTGAATAAAATTA